GAAATTTTTTTCTTTATTTAGGGGGTTTAAAAATTTTTTTTTTTTTTTTTTTTTTTTTTAACATGAAGGGTTATAATAGTTCCCTAAAAAGTGAAGACAAAAAATGGTTACAAATTCATATATCCCCTTTGTAAAAGGTTTACAAAAATAAAAATTAATCCCAACATAATTTGATCTTCAATTGCCAATTTTAATTCAACATGGGTCGTTGTTTCCTTCAATGTCTAACCAAATTGTACAAGGGTGCTGCTTTTATGAACATGCAGATTAACTGTTTGCTGTTCCTGTAAGGGTTCTTGCATACGTATTTGTAACAAAAGTTTTGGTCTTTTTGCAGTTGACACGGTGCTTGAGACATGAACAATATGGCTCAAGTGAATGCTCCAACGCTACAGTTTAAGAATTCTGCTCTCTTTGGAATTCGTCCAAAATCGTGTGTTTGTTTTGAGACACAAAGTAGAAGTGAGTTCTGCAGAAATTAATCTTGCGCAGTTTTTTCTTTGGATTTTTCTTGTGTTTGAGATTCGGTTCGATGGAATATGTTAACATATATGGCATTTGACTTTAACGTGGATGCCAACAAGATGCTTAGAATTTGTCACACATGAATATAATGTTTGTATGTGACTTTTGATATTTAGTTCTATGAACTTTGAATGTTCCTACAGGTATAACTAAGAAACCTTTAGTGGTTGAAGCCAGAGCAAATACTAGAACAGAAAGTGCAAAAATTCGGAACAGAAGGATGCAGAAAAAGGTATCTCTTTGTTATATCTCCACCTTTTGTACTTCATATCTATTTGTAGCCAAATCCCTTTATCTTTTGCATGATTAAGGTGTTAAGCAGACACATTTTAGATTCCATATGGAATACAGGTTTGCCATGCATTTACCTTATTCATCATTTGTAAAACATGTCATGTCATCCCATTTTTTCCTAGATTGTTGCAGATTCGATAAATTCGTTCTGTGAACTGACTCTTTTCCTCTAGTCATTTAATATATAGACACGTACCATAATGTTTTACTTAAATCCTATAACAGGTGATAGCTTTGCAGATTGATTAAGGAAACTTGAACTAAGTTTTTGAGTTCCTTTAGTTATATGGTTCTCCACTATTAACTGCTAAGTACTAAGATTTTCCCCATCAGCTGTTAATTCCATGCTTGATTTTTTCTTTTTTTCTTTTTTTTCTTTTTTCAGTATGATGGAACAGCTACACATCCAAGACTTTCGGTATTTTGCTCAGATAAGCAATTATATGCAATGCTAGTAGATGACAAAAATAAAAAGTGTTTGTTCTACGGAAGCACACTGCATAAATTGTTCCGACTAGATCCTCCTTGTAGCACTCTTGTAAGTACACGACCTCTTGCAGACAAAAATTGCACGAGACATGGAAATATGTCGCTTTTTGTGGTCTCATTATGCTTTTTCTTTGGGTTTTGTTCTTTTTTGCATAACATGATTTTAGGAAGCTGCTCAACGTGTTGGGGAGGCACTTGTTAAAGCTTGTGTTGATCTCAAGATAAATGAAATATCATCCTATGATCGCAATGGCCTTCGTCGTGGAGAAAGGCTACAAGCCTTTGAGATTGCCATTTCAAGTTATGGATTCTTGCCAAGATAGTTCTGTAGCTGATATTGCTGCTCTTTTTGTGAAACACATATGAAGAACTCCTATATTGAAGTTGATCTTATTAGGGGTAGGATATGATCACTTTTCTAGAAAATTGGGTTGCAATCTCGTGCGATTGACCATTACTGTAAGATAAACTTTGAAACATCTTAACATTCTTTATTGCAAACTAAAATATATTGATTTGAATCCTAATGTTCTACATCGATGATTTACGTAAGGGTGGTATGGAATATGTGGAATTGGAAAGACAACACTTGCATTTGCAGTGTACAATTTCATTACTGATCAATTTGAAGGTCTCTCTTCTTGCTGACGTTAGAGAAAATTCAGTGAAGCATGAGCTGGTACAACTTCAGGAAACACTTCTTTCTAATATGGTTGGAGAAAGACATTAAGTTGGGGAATGTAAAGAAAGGGATTCCTAAAAGTAGGCTCTGTAAAAAGAAAACTCTTTTGATTTTGGATGATGATAAAATTGGGACAACTGAAAGTACTTGCTGGTGGACTTGATTGGCTTGGTTCTGGAAGCAGAATTATTATAACAACTAGAGATAGATCTGCTAAATGTTTATGGTGTTGAAAGAAACTATGAAGTAGAAGGATTAAATCATAAAGAAGCCCTTGAATTGTTCGGCTGGAATGTTTTCAGAAGAAAACAAGTCAATCCTAGTTATCTAGACATTTCAAAGAGAGTAAACGGCAGTCTAATGGCCTTCCATTATCTCTGGAAGTAATAGGTTCTAATTTATTTGGTAAAACACTGTTGGAATGGAACTCACCATTAGAGTAAACTATGATGACTTCAAGGAATTTGAGAAGGAAATATTTTTGACATGGCTTGTTTCTTTAATGGATACGAACTAAGTGACATCATAAACATACTACATAGTGGTCTGCGTTGCCCCACACTATGTTATCCAGATTTTGATTGACAAGTGTCTCATAAAAATTGTCCTGTCATATGAGAATACACAATCTGATTCCGAATATGGGTAGAGAAATAGTGAGGCAGGGATCACGATCAAAGCCTGGTCAATGCAGTAGATTATGGTTCTCTGAAGATATTATGTGTTTTTAAAGAGAACAAGGTATGTGGTGCAACAATTTGTCTCTTTGATTATTTTTATTTTCAATTTTAGACAAACGCATAGTGGAATGCCCCATTAATTGTTGATTCTCTGATTCAAATTTATATGGCAAAACTTGTTGTTGATAAGATAATACGCTTTATAATTCGTATATTTTAATTTAATACTTTTAACGTAAAGGGATCAGATAAAACTGAGATCATCATTCTAACTTTCCTAAAGATAAAGAAGTGCAATGGGGTGGAAATGGATTGAACAAGATGGAAAACCTTTGGTGGTAAAAAAATGCCCACTTTTCTAAAGGATCTATTGCTCTCCCAAAAAGTTTTATGAGTTCTAAAATGGTGTGACTTTCCTGAATCATCGCTCCCTTCTGATTTTGATGCAAAAGAACATGATATATTGGACTTGTCTCTGAGTTTCTTTACAGTCAAAAAGCAACTGACCATGGTATTATAGTATTAGCAGCTCGCTATCTTGATATTTTTTAGTCTTGAGTATTGATAATTCCATTTTAAAATTCATAAATTAGTTACTATGTCATTTTTTCATTTTGCAAAAATTTAAGTCTTTGACAGAAATGAAGTTAAATGGTTGCAAATTACTAAAAGAAGTATCTAACTTGTCTGGAGCACCAAATTTAAAGAAATAGCATCTTGATGATTGCAAAAATTTAGTTAAAATTCATGCTTCTGTTGCATTTCTTGATAAACTTGAATTTTTGAATCTTAACTATTGCACTAGTCTTGAGGTTCTTCCTCGTGGCATGAACTTATGCTCTCTTAAAATCATGTCCCTTATGAATTGCACAAGTCTCATGAGTTTTCCCGAAATTTTAGGGAAGAGGGAGAACTTAAGATACCTTGATTTGATTGATAGTGCCATACTTGGCTTGTCTTTTTCAATTGAAAATCTTGTTGGGCTCACAATCCTGACTCTGAATGGATGCAATGGGCTACTTGAACTACCAAGTAGTGTTTTTAACTTTCATGCTGCCAAAACTTGGGAACTTGGAAGCTAACTATTGTTTACAGCTTGCACAAGTACAGTATAGGGAAGCTAACTATCGAAAATTATGTCGTCATTCTGTTTACCCTTACACTTCACCTTCGATATTTCCCACTCCTTTAACTTTCCATAACCTTCCCCACCATTTGCATCTTTGGAAATGGTTACAAAGCACCCTTTATCAATGATCGAATCTATAATCACTTTTTCGAAAAAAAACTCACTCACTTTTGACTCCCTTTAGAAGCCCGCACACATTTTGCTTTTCGTCTAATTTTGAACTAGAATTTTTTTTCTCTCTCTCTACTCTTATCCACATAGATCACCTATCAGGAAGAGAAAAATAAAATGAGGTATCATTGAGGGGGTTTTGGATTGACATTTTTCATTAAAATATATAGACATGAGAACTACTAGAATTTCAATCTATATTATTATCTATAATATATATATATATATATAT